TAGAGGGCATCCAATAGCAAGAGCGTCCCAGCTGGGTGCAGTACCACTTGTCTCCACTAGAGGATGCCATAGCCAGGACTGGATGCTGTACCATAGGCTCCCCCCTTCTGCCACTAGGGGGAGCCCTGTAGCATCAATGCCCCAGCCCGACATGAAAGGCCACATGAACGGCCAACGCTGCCATCCACCACCAGGGGGTGAGGGCCAGGTCCCCCGCAGCGCCAGCAGGAGGCGCCGCCACCAGGCACCGATACTCCTCCCCCAGCCGGTTGGTCACCAGAAGCTCCGCCTCCAGGGTGCAGCAGTCAGAGGAGTAGGTGGCCGTCGCAGCCGCCCCGTCGGCCCAGTGGGGCACGGCCACGCCCCCTGCCAGCACCGACCGGATGCCAGCCCCATCCCAGATCCGCAGCCTGGCCGTCCAGCGGTGCTCGCGGCAGGGGGACCCTGGCGGGCCGCAGGTGCCAGCCACCGAGGTGACGTTGCAGGGAGAAGAGGCGCGATTCGGCACCTGCAGGAAGAAAGCGACAGGGTGGGCGAACAGGCCAGCGCCGGGCCATGAACCCGCCGGCTAGGGGCACACACCGAGATTTTTAACTTAGAACCAGGGCAATTACACGTTAACAACTCAGCACGTTTGGGGGCATTTCCTTTCCTTGGTGTTTTTTCGTAACGATTCACAAAGCTTCTTGGGTATTTAATTTCCCCCATTGTACCAAGGGAGCTCACTCATGGCACTTCCCCAGTTTTATAGAAATGCTTCACACAGTTGCTCGGTTGTTAATTGCCCTCGTTTGAATATTAACGAATCACCACGTTTCTTCGCTATTTCATTTCTGTTAACCCTCCACGACGTTTAATGGCCTTTAACGGACCTTGATTTACCCTGACAGCTCACAACGGCTTTGAATATTTCATTTCCCTAGTTTTAGATTAATGACGCTTTGGCATTTCCCTTCCCTAGGTTTATAGCGAAAACTCACAACTTTTTTTTTTTTTAATATTTCATTTCCTTAGTTTTACATGGGCAAATCGCAAAGTTTATGGCATTTACTTTCCCTAATTTTACACTAATGAGTCACAGTTTGGGGACGCATTTATATTTCTCGTCTTAACGATTCCCAAGATTTTGGGGTATTTCATTTCTCCAGTTTTATGCTAATGATTCACAGAGTCTAGGGCATTAATTGCCCTGGTTTTCTACGGCCGACTGACAAAGCTCTGGCCGGCGTCTCGGTCCCTGGTTTTTTCAATGACTCACCAAGCTTTTGGCATTTGATTTCTCTGGGAGTTTGTGACGTTGCCTCTATATGATTTTATGAAAGTATGCTGATGAGTGTGAATATGATGTAACTGGAATATGCTTCATGCAAAAGGTCTCTTGTAAGGTATCATTACAAAGCTTATAATCTACGGAGTGCGGTCATCCTATTTGTATAAATGTACCACTCTTGTATCTGAAACTAGAAATATGAAATATAACTCTGAGGGCCTATTGTAACTATGCAAAGTGTGGGTCATTAAAGGTGGTTTGAAATCTTGATGGCTCCCATTAACCAGGACCATTGTCTGCAGATGGGTGTGTTTTACCTGTGAGTCTTCCTGTATATGTGTGTGCTGGCAAGTGGGCAATGAAGTCTTGCAGTGACATGTGATCATGTCACCTGAACTGGAATCCATCTTTAACCTGGTGCTTTTCCATTGAGAAGGAGGGGTGGGAACCCAGAGCAGCGCCGTAACAAGGGCAAGGGAAGGATCTGCCGCCGAATTGCCGCCGCCGCTTCATTCATTCTTCGGCGGCAATTCGGCGGTGGGTCCTTCTCTCTGACAGGGACTCAGGGACCCACCGCCAAAGAGCCTGGAGCTGGCCCTTGCCTCGGGCGCAAAAATTCCTTGTTACGGCTCTGACCCAGAGGGACAAAGGATTCCCGCCTTGGGCCAAAGATATATAAATGGGTGGAAGAGAACAAAGGGAGCAGCCATCATGAGAAATCCCTTAGCTCCCACCTGAGCTGGAACAAGGGTTGGACCAGGGGAAGGATTGTGCCCAGACTAGGAAGGGGTCCAGTCTGTGAAAGAAGCTTATTGGAACATCTGAGGGTGAGATTTTATCTGTATTCAGTTTTATTGCTGTATTAAGCTTAGACTTGCGTGTTTTATTTGATTTTACTTGGTGACTCACTTTGTTCTGTCTGTCACTACTTGGAACCACTTAAATCCTACTGTCTGTATTTAATAAAATCACTTTTTACTTATTAATTAACTCAGACTATGTGTTAATACCTGGGTGGGCAAACAGCTGTGCATATCTCTCTATCAGTGTTATAGAGGGCGAACAATTGATGAGTTTACCCTGTATAAGCTGATTGATTTGGGGTTTGGACCCCATTGGGAGTTGGGCATCTGAGTGTTGAAGACAAGAACACTTCTGTGAGCTGTTTTCAGGTAAACTTGCAGCTTTGGGGCACATGGTTCAGACCCTGGGTCTGTGTTGGAGCAGACGGGCGTGTCTGGCTCAGCAAATCAGGGTGCTGGAGTCCCAAGCTGGCAGGGAAAGCAGGGGCAGAAGTAGTCTTGGCACATCAGTTGGCAGCTCCCAGGGGGTTTCTGTGATCCAACCCGTCACAGAGTTTTCTAAAAGACTCCCAAAGTTTGGGCCGTTGCATTTTAATTTCAGCAGCTCAGGAAGTTTGCTGCAGGACATTTCATTTCCCTGGTTTTTTTGTTGAACAGCCAAGAGCCATTGCAGAGCTAGTGCCCTGGTGCCATCTGCTGGCCACAGCTGACCATGTGCCCCGGACTCACCGGCGGCCGGGGCATCACCAGGAGCTGGATGAAGGCGAAGTTGGCGTCCCCGGCCGGGGAAAGGGGGTCGGCGCGGAGGGTGACGGTGACGGCTGAACCAGGGGTGGCGCTGCCGGGCACCCGCAGCGAGATGACGCCCGTCGCCGTCTGGTTCCTGCCCAGCTGCAGCCTGCGCGAGAGGCGGGGTCAGCATCGGTGGGGGCGGGTCGGACGGGGACGGGCAAGGGACAGATGGATGGAAGCTGGAAGCTGAAGAGGGACAGACGGATGCTCTGGGGCAAGGAGGGACGGACAGACAGACCGACCCAAGGAGCCAAAGGATGGATGGATGGATGGACAGACCGACCCTGGGAGCCAATGGACAGACTGACCCTGGGAG